TCTATTTTCCTGTGGAGAAACCTTCCTTTCTTACCTCCTCCCTGGGCCCCAGCTGCCCATTCCCACCCAACTTCTCCCCTCGCGGCCACACACCTCCACGGCCCACCAAGCACCTGCGTCTCCCACAGTGGCTTCAGCTCAGCAGCTGCCGTAACCCCGTGGTCACTCCCACGTCTCCAGTTTTCATGACTGACCCAGCGTGACTTGGTGCCGACTCTGAGGCCTGGAGGTGGCTGGTGAGGGAGTCACTTCCCTGCCCAGGCCTGCCCGCCCCCCCCACGCCCATGGGGCTGGGCCTGCCAGTCCACCACTGCAGCCCTCACCACCACCGGACCCTCCCCAACTCTTGCCCCTGGATAGCAGCAAGCGATGTGCTGATGTCCAGCCAAGCCCAGGGGACAATTCACATGTGTCATCTTACCCAATCCTCAGGCCATTGAGGGGCAGGTGCTGCCATCACCCCGTCTTACAGTGGCCCAAAGCACCACGTGACTCCCCCAGGCGCACAGCTAGTCAATGGCAGAACCAGACAGAGAACCACAGTCCCGCTCCTGACCCGGGCGGAGCCCCGCGGCCACCGTCAGCCTGGGGCCAAGCTGCACGTGGGTGTGAACTCGGTATGCGACCCATGCAGCAGGCACCCTCGCCTGTGAGCCATTGCCACCAGCCCTCCTGAAGGGCCCCAGCTGGGGGCCCGGGCACGGAGCGGGTCGCTGTGCAAGCAGACGTCCCAGCCCGGGAGGCAGGATTCTCCACCAGGCCGGCCCGCCAGGCTCTCGTCCTGGAGGCGAGCACCTTCCACACGGCGCCCAGCCGTAGGGCCTGACCCAGGCCCCGCCTCTGCGCAGCCCTCCCAGACTCCTCCAGCCCCTCTGTGCCCCTCACCCCCATTTTAGAGCCTAACGGTGTGTCACCTTCTGAGGTTTCATGTATCCTATTAATGTGCTGTGACAACAATAGTAGTAATCCTACTGGGCATTAGGCAAACTATTATACCAGCTGAGAGACGGGCGCCCTTCCAAGTGCCTCATGTCCCATCCGTTGCCCTGCACCAGCGAGAGGGTGGGCGAGCGACCTGCGTGCAGATGCTGTCCTGTATGGAGCTGCGTGGTGATGCGCGCAGATGCTGGGAGGCCGGCCACCGCACACTCCCACAGGGGAGGCTGGCTGGGACGCCCGGCCAGCTGTGTTGGAAGGGACCACCGAGTCTCGTTCCTTCTGGCCGAGGCTCTGGTCTTTGTTAAATGCAGATGTCACGAGGGCTGGAGAGGGCCAGGAGGGTGCTCAGGAACCCACACCTGCTCAGCCTTGCCCCCCAGGCTGGCTTGGCTTGCTAAGGGCTGGCTGGTGTCTGTTGTCACTACCTTGTCACACAGAGCTAGGCAGCAGGAAGTTCTCATGGGTTCCACGTTGATCTGGATTGTCTGGCAAAGATTTCAAATTTATGCTTTAGCAGCTTTTTGAGATGTAATTCACATACCCTCTACTTCACCCACTTACATGTACTATTCAGTGGCTTTTAGTATCTTCATAGATTTGCACAGCCAGCAACAGTCAATTTGAGAACATTTCGTCGCCTCAGAAAGAAGCTGTGCCCTTCAGCTCTCATCGCCAATCTTCGCGTCAAGCACAGCCCCCGGGAGCCGCGGTCTGCTCCCATCTCCACGGGTTGCCCTGCGCCGGACTCGCCATGCGAACAGAATTGTGGAATGTGTGGCCTTAGGTGCCTGGCTTCTCTCACTGGGCGTTAGTGTTTCCGAGGTTGGTCCGTGCTGTGTCGTGGGTCAGGACGTTATTCCTTTTCATGGCTGGATGACATTCTAGGGCAGCGGTTCTCCACCCTTCACAGGGGTCGCCTAAGACCCTCGGAAAACACATACTTTCGATGGTCTTAGGAACCGAGACACCGCTCCTCTATCCGTCTCCAGGTCCACATACAGATACGCCCACATATGAGTCCCCGGCGACCCCTGTGAAAGGGTCGTTCGACCCCCAAAGGGGTCGCGACC